TGCAGGATCTTAGTTCCCCAACCAGAGATCGAACCCTCACCCCCTGCAGTGTAAGCACGGAGTCTTAACCACTGGACCACCAGGGAAGTCCCAAGACGGTGGGGTTTTGAAGTCATTAGTTACCACAGCAAAACTGACAAATACTGGAGTTCAACCAAAATAAAGCTATACTAAGATATTTTTTTACTCCTCGAATTAAAAAGATTCAGAAGTTTGACAGCATGCTCTGTTACTGAGGCTGAGAACACAGACGCTTTCATACATTGGTGTCACCTCTATGGATGTTGGCAATCCTTATCAAAGTTACAAATGCAGATGGCTGTAATCAGAAAGACAGACAATAACAAGTCTGTCAAGGATGTGGAGAAATGGGAACCCTCATGGGAATGTAAAATAGTGTAGTCACTTTGGAAAGCAGTTCGGCAGTTCCTCAAAGAGTTAAATGTGGGACTTCCCTGGTGGTGCAGTGCTTAAGACTCCTCGCTCCCAATGCAGGGGGCCTGGGTTCGATCCCTGGTCAGGGAACTAGATCCCACATACATGCCGCAACTAAGAGTTCGCATGCCACAACTAAGGAGGCCTCCTGCTGCAACTAAGGAGTCTGTGAGCTGCAACTAAGGCCTGGCGCAACAACAACAAAAAGTCAAACGTAAAGTTACTTTATGAGCTAGCAATTCCACTACCAGGTATGTACCCAAGAGAATTGAAAACATGTCCACACAAAAAATTGTATATTAATGTTCATAGCAGCATTATTCACAATAGCTTAATTGTGGAAGCAACCTAAATGTCCATCAATTGATGGATACTTGAAATGTGGTATATCCATACAATGGAATATTATCTGATCATAAAAGGGAATGCAGTTCTGATACATGCTACAACATGGATGAACCTTGAAAACATTATGCTAAGTAAAAGAAGCCAGTCACAGAAGATAACATACTGTTTGTTTCCATTTATGTGAAAGTGTCCAGAATAGGCAGATCTTTAGAGGCAGAAAAAAGATGAGTGGTTGTCAGTGGTGGGGGGAGGGGAGAATGGGGAGTTCCTTTCTGTGAGGATGAGAATGTTCTGGAATTAGTGATGATGGTGGCACAATTTTGTTACTACATGAACAACCACTGAATTGTACGATTTATTTATTTTTTATTTAAAAATTGTTTTTGGTACCCCAGGTGGGACTGAATTGTACAATTTAAAAGGATATGCTTTAGAGTATGTAAATTATCTCAATAAAGCTGTTATATTAAAAAATAAGAATGAGGAAGTTCTATACGTTCTATATGATCACTCATATACTGTTAACTGAAAAAATGCAAGGTGCACAACAGGGATTATATGCTTTTATGTGAAAAAGGAGAAAATAATATATATATACATTTGTTAGTATTTGCATTAAAAACTCTGAAAGATTATCTGAGACACTAATAAAAATAGTTATCTGGAATGGGGCATATGGAATGGGGTGGAAATTAGACTTTTCACTATTAATATTTTCATGTATTTTGGTTTTGAACTACCTGAATATGTTGCTTATTCAAAAATCTAAAAATTGAAAAGAAAACCCAATGAATGCACAACTATAATAATAATAAAGGGGGAACTCCAACTACAGCATTGTTGCTCCTTAAAATTCAGGCCCAGTGTTGCTAGATCTTCTGATTTTTTTCACAAGAAGCTGGAAGTTTCGGTATTGACAATTTTTTTTTAAAGTTTTAAAATGTACTATGCAAGCCAAACAAAACCATGTCTATGGGTAGCAGTTGGCCCTCCGTCTTCCAGTTTGTGACCTGTGCTTTAGACTGTGAACCTCAGGAGGGCAGGGCTGTGGTCTTTTGCTCTCCATTGTGACCTCTAGTGGTCACCAAAGTGCTTGGCACATATATACCAGATAATGAATAAATACTGAAGTAAGGCAGAGAGGGATCCAGAGTGCAGGTGACAAAAAGTTGAGTGAGTTTGGATGGTTTTTATTTTCTATAAGAAATTTGAAATGAGAGGGAAACAGGGAGAAGGTTGATAGGTCAATAATTTGAGAGGTTTGGGAAATTTTTGAAATAATTGTTCCAGAGAGTTGGAGATAGAGCTGACAATAGAAGAATAGTAATGTTGCCAGGCAGTGTTGTGTGTCCAGTTGAGAGAGTCATTGCTGCTTTTTGCCTCTGAAGATGGTTACTACCTTCATCACAGTCCTGGGAATTCCCTTCACCTCTCTCCTGTGTTGGGCGAAATATGATGTGGTCTGATTCTCTGTCCTTTGTCTGTGACCTGGTTTGGGTTTTGTCTCTGGAAGTCTTTGGATCCTCCATTGTTCTGAAACAATATTATCATCTGTCTTCCTGTTGGTCATTCAGTGGATCCATTTGATCGATTCTGTTCTATAAAGCTTTTTTTTTTTTTTTTTTTTAATTTCTTTCCACCTTTTTCCCCTTCTCTTTCTGAAACTTCTATTAGTTGACTCTTGGGCCTTTTGGATCGATCTTCTATAGTTCTTTTATGTTTTGTTGCCCATCTCTTTATATTTTTATCTTTCTGTGTGATTTTCTTGACTGCCATTTCAGTTGTCATATTTTTAAAACCCTAGAGCTTCTCATTGTTCTCTGAGTGTTCCTTTTTGAGAGCAACCCCCCCCCTTTTTTTTTTGTTATGAGTGCAGTATCTTCCTGAATTTTTGAAGCTTTCTTCTGCTCCTTGCATTTCTTCTCTTCTACCAAATACCTTTTTTCAGTGTGTCTGTTTTTACCTCTGTGGTTCACATTAGGGGCTTTCCTCAAGTGTCGGGTAGTCCCTGGCTGGCTGTCTGCTCACATTTAAGAGTGAGGCACTAAGGCATATTGGAAGGCCCAAGTGCATAGAAAGGATGTATTTATTGACTTGTGGGCATCACTGACTAGGTGATTGGGCGAGGCCTGAAATAAGTGTCAGGTCTTTTCTCTAGGGCTATTGAGATTAGTTTCTTCAGAGAGGACTCCTTCAGTCTCCTGACCCTGGAAGGTTTACCCCAGGCCACTGGTTCTGAACACTGATCGGGAGAAAGGACTTGACTGGATACCTCCCGCTAATCCTCTTGTATTCAGTACAGTGCCTCCTCCTCAACTTCTGCTGTGCTTGGCATCCCTAAGTCCCAGCTGCTCCATTTCAGTTTCTCTAGAAAACAGACTTCCTGCTTCTTTGGAATTAGGTGGAGGAGAGGGGAGTTGCCTCGCTGAATGGGCAGGGGGAGAAGAGTGAGGGCCTAAATGTTCCTTGTATAAATTTTCATCTAATTTCCACGTTTTTAGCTGTGCTTCTTCCTCCTGGCTTCCCAGGTAGCTACTGTTGTAAATTCCTGAGCCTTTCTGGGCTTCTGCCCTAAGAAGCAGCTTATATCCTGTTGGCATAACCCTCTGCAGACAGAGTGGCTTTAACTTTTTGCATTTGCTGAACCAGTTACCACTTCTCATCTGCTTTCTATCTTCTACAGTTATTCACATCTCTCACCTCTTGTCTCCCATCTGCTTTATTATTCTTTTTTTTTTTTTTTTTGCGGTACGCGGGCCTCTCACTGTTGTGGCCTCTCCCGTTGCGGAGCACAGGCTCCGGACGCGCAGGCTCAGTGGCCGTGGCTCTCGGGCCCAGCCACTCCGCGGCATGTGGGATCTTCCCGGACCAGGGCACGAACCCGTGTCCCCTGCATCGGCAGGCGGACTCTCAACCACTGAGGCACCAGGGAAGCCCTGCTTTATTCTTCTGAATTTAAAATTCCACTGATATAATTTAGTGGGGTTTCAGGAAGGAGTATTGGTAAACATATGCATTTAATCTGGTATGTTTTATTGGAATGAGCAGAGACCATGAATTTATAGCAAAACCAATTTGAATGGTTAGGTGGTTTTCACTAGCAGAATTCAGCAGTCCTGGTGGATTTGGTAAGAGAAGGACTGGCCAGTTGGATTGGGGTTTTGCCAGGTGGATTTGGTGGAAGGACATTAGGGCCAGGGAGTTGAGGATTTTGGACAAAGAGTGGTTGAAACAACAGACCGTACAATCTAGGTTGTGTAAGTGAAGGAAAGAAAGATACAACGGAGTTGATGGCTGGAGGAATTTATGAACTAAAGATCCCATGAAGTAAGAAAAACTTGTCAATTTTTTTTTGAATTTTATTTTATGTATTTTTTTATATAGCAGGTTCTTATTAGTTATCTATTTTATACATATTAGTGTATATATGTCAATCCCAATCTCTCAGTTCATCCCACCATCCACCCCCGCCACTTTCCCCCCTTGCTGTCCGTACAAAACTTGTCAATTTTTAAACAAACCCTACTTGGTCCTTCCAGCATCTTCTCAGCCAGGGACGAAAGTGCTATTCCTAAGTTTATTTATGTTTCTTTGCTTTATTATTCTATCTTGGGGGTTAATGTCCTTCTTGCTTTGTAAAAGCAAAACTCTCTCAGGTCCCCAGGACAGGATTCTGTGTGGGGCGTGAGGGTAGGGATGCCTCACCTCCTTGTTTACCCTGGAGGAAACTGGGGGTGTTCAGAGCCCTTGCCTCCACCTTTCTTTCTTTTTTTTTCTTTGCGGTACGCGGGCCTCTCACTGTTGTGGCCTCTCCCGTTGTGGAGCACAGGCTCCAGATGCGCAGGCTCAGCGGCCATGGCTCACGGGCCCAGCCGCGCCGTGGCATGTGGGACCTTCCTGGACCGGGGCACGAACCCGTGTCCCCTGCATCGGCAGGCGGACTCTCAACCACTGCGCCACCAGGGAAGCCCTTTTTTTTTTTTAAATTTATTAAATTTATTTATTTTTGGCTGCACTGGGTCTTTGTTGCTATGCACAGGCTTTGTCTAGTTGCGGTGAGCGGGGCTACTCTTCGTTGTGGTGCGCGGGCTTCTCATTGCAGTGGCTTCTCTTGTTGCAGAGCACGGGCTCTAGGCACGCGGTCTTCAGTAGTTGTGGCACGCAGGCTCGGTAGTTGTGGCTCGCGGGCTTAGTTGCTCCATGGCATGTGGAGCCCCAGACCAGGGCTCGAACCCGTGTTCCCTGCATTGGCAGGCAGATTCATAACCACTGCGCCACCAGGGAAGTCCCCACCTTTCATTTCTGAGTGGTGACTTTGGTGGAATGGATACAGAAGGGACCGGGTGGACAGAGCCAAGTCTTCCCTGCAGACCTCTTTTCAGAGCTTTGGGAAAAGCCTTCCTCCAGCCTGGGGTCTCTCTTTCTTCACCAGTCGTTCCCTCCTTGCAGCCTGTTTTCCACTCCCCTGGCCTGCTTGCCCTATCTAACAGCCTGAGCTGATGAACACCCACAGATACCTTGGAGGTTCTCTCTTTAAATCCCTTATTTTACAGAAACTGAGGCCCTGAGGTGTACTCACTCCTGGCCCAGAAGCCTTTGTGCCAAAGCAAGCTCAGAGGCTGAGGGAGCCCCGCATGAGGCGGTGGAGCCTGATGATTAGGAGCGGGGTCTTCAGAGCCCCACACACCCTTGTCCAGACCCAGCTCAGCCACATACTGGCTGCATGACCTGGACACGTTACATACGTAGTGTCTCTGAAATCTGTTTCCTCATCTTTAAATGTGTGTCATAAACTTAACTTCAGTCGTTGTGAAGATGAGAATAATGCATGTTAAGTACAGAATGAGGCATGTGGTAGGTACTTCCATGGTGCCTATTTTTATTAGCGTCTCTTCTTCTAGCCTTTCCACCTAAAACGCCCCACTGCTGCCACCTGTCAGGGGAGCCAGAGTGAGCACCGATGAAGGATTGAGTCTTATTCTCAAGGCTGAGTCAGTTCCCCTAGTTTCCCAAAACCCAATCTACTGAGGAGAAGTTTAAGGATAGGACCACTGGGGTCCCTTGGACCTGTGTTTTCAACTAGCTTGGGGTCCAGTGGCTGCTGACAGTGGATTATAACAGAGGAAGATTCCTTCCGTTCCATGTTTCCTGGATCCTCTTACCCCCTCATTTGGCGGGTTCCCCAGGCCTTGGTGTTTGCCCCTCTCTCCCTGGCCATCTCCGTGAGCATTCTCTCCCCTGGGGAATGGAGCCCATCACAAGGCTTCAGCTGTGCCCCACCTCTCGAGTCTGCTTCTCATTCCTGCATCTCAGCAGAGCTCTGGACCTGACTTCCTCCCATATGCATATTTGTAGCCCTGGACACTTCCACTTAGATGAGTATTTCCAAGAAATAACAATCTACTTTCCATCCAGCCTCCACTTTCTGCATCCCTATTTCTTTTATGGGCACCATTATTTTTCCAGTCACCCAGGCTTGAAACCCCAGGGTTGTCCTTGACCCTTCCTTCCCCTCCAATGTAGATTCCATAAGTCTTGAATTGAGTATAATCCAGCAAGTGGTTAAGCCTGCATATTCCTCTACCTGTCCTTCCCCAGCGACACCACCCTTATTCACGTGTGGCTCACCTCTTTCCTGGTTTACAGCAATGGCCTGTTCATTCTTCTGCATCCATCTGCTATACACTGGTCTTCTGAGAGCATTGTTTTCATCACATTAATCCTTGCCACAGAATCTTTCAGTGGCTTTCCATTTTCTGCAGGATAAAATCTAGATTCTTGGCCTGGCTGGCACTCAAGGCTGTCCATAATCTCTCGTGCAGCTCTGCCCACCCTGCCTTTGCTCCCGTGTCGTCCTTGCAGACCTTCTCTCCAGCCGGCCAGGCACCTTCACTGACCTGAGAATCAGCCATACTCATTCCTGATGTAAGCTCATGGCATTCCCCCCTGTCCCTGAATGCCTCTCTTCCTCCCTTTCTCCAGTCCTGTTTCTCCTGCCTGCTTTCAAGTTGTAGCCCCAGTCCCACTGCAGATCCTCCTCAGGCTTCAGCCTTCATCCATCTCTTCTCCTGAATAGCGCTTGGGATCAGCATCTTGCCAGCGCCCTGGGCTGTAACTGTTGCACGTGCATCAGTATCCCCCCTCCCCACCCACCAACCCCAGCACCCTGGTGTGAACACAGTTGGTGCTCACTTCAAACAGCCACTCCCGGGCTTCCCTGGTGGCGCAGTGGTTGAGAGTCCGCCTGCCGATGCAGGGGACACGGGTTCGTGCCCCGGTCCGGGAAGATCCCACATGCCGCGGAGCGGCTGGGCCCATGAGCCATGGCCGCTGAGCCTGTGCGTCCGGAGCCTGTGCTCCGCAGCGGGAGAGGCCACAACAGTGAGAGGCCCTCGTACTGCAAAAAAACAAAACAAAAACAAAAACAAACAGCCACTCCCTGTTTCTTGAGCACTCTCAACCTGCAAGGCACAGGATTATACTTAACGGTCTGCCTCCTCAGTGTGGCCTCCTTTTCTTCCTGCTCTTCAGAGAAGAGGGCTTTAGAAATCAGGACAGTTCTGAGAAGACTCTGGGGGTTGGGATGCAAAGAGATCGGCCTCTCAGGCCTGCCTAAACCATTACTCTGTTCCTCTCCAGTCTAAGTGAAGGTGGCATGTGTTTTTGCCTTACATCTCATCTCCCCGCTTCTTCATGTCAGCTAATGGTTATTCAGGAAACTTATCTCAACCTGCTGGCCCTATCCCAAATCTTCAGGGCATGGGTCATGAGAATGATGTCATGGCCATGTGACTGCTGCCTATACCTTGCTCCCTCTGCTGCCCTAGTCCTAACACTCTAAAAAGCCAGTTGTGTCCCCTGCTTCCAGCTCACCTGGACGAAGGCCTGAGCAGAAAGGTAAGCTTCTCACCTGTGCCTTTGGTGAGCAGTGGCCACTGGTTTCTACCTGCTCAGCACTTCTTTCCCACCTGTTTCTGCTGGCTCTCTCCCTGGGCGCTCTCACTTGCCTTATCTGTACAGTGAAGCCTGGGGCTAGGCCTTAGGCCCATTACGGAGTTGAAGTTCTTGCTGGTTAGGTCCAGGTGGGGTCCCCAGGCTGAGTAGGGAATAACTCCTGCTCTGCTCACAGATTTCCTCCTGATGGCTGACTCTCAACCACTCCTCTCCCTTGATGGGGACGCCGCGGCTGCAGAAGCCTTGCTCCGGGACGTGTTTGGGATTGTGGTGGATGAGGTCATTCGGAAAGGGACCAGTGCCTCCGAGAAGGTGGGTCTTTTCTCCCCCCTCCTCCTGCCCGTCAAACCTGGCTGAGAACTTTCCTCCTCTGTGCAGGCTTCTCCCCAGAATTCATCACTCTCGCTGTGTGCCTCAGGGATTACATACTGGGCCAGACTGTGTTTATTTACCCTTGTTCATGTGTTGCTTGGAAAATATTGCTAATTTGCTGTAAGTGCAGCTTGGTGGTGTCTTCTGTCTGCTGAGATGTGGTTTGGGCAGCCAGTCAGCGGGGTGCCTCCGCGCCCCCAGAATCTCCCGCTTCTCCTCCTAGGTCTGCGAGTGGAGGGAGCCAGAGGAGCTGAAGCAGCTTCTGGATTTGGAGCTGCGGAATGAGGGGGAGTCACAGGAGCAGATCCTGGAGCGCTGCCGGGCTGTGATCCGCTACAGTGTGAAGACCTGTAGGTCCTGGGTCCTGCGGGGAGGCGCGTCTAGAATTTGTACCCAGCTCCACACTGAGCCCTCGTCCCCCTTCTCCAGGTCACCCTCGTTTCTTCAACCAGCTCTTCTCAGGGTTGGACCCTCATGCCCTGGCCGGGCGCATTGTCACTGAGAGCCTCAACACCAGCCAGTGAGCCATCCCCGGGCCCCCTTGCACCACCCCGAAAGGATTTGGGTTTGTGGGAGACACACTCGGTGGGTAGGAGAGGAGAATGGTGCTTGCCCCCCTGTCTTTTCTGGGAATCTCTGCTGGCAGAGTCTTTCCCCTCGTACCCTTTGGGCTTCCTTTCTCAAGCTTTCTCATGCCTCCCGGCTCCAGTTTTTTCTCATCTTTTCCTCCCTGGTTCTTTTTCACCAACTCAGTCCTCTCTTTGGACCCTCTCTCACTCACTCTGTCCACCTCCTCTCTCCAACTCCTCGCAGAGTCTCTCCCTGTCTCTTTCCCATTCTCATCATTCCCTCTCCTGACAGGTACACATATGAGATCGCCCCCGTGTTTGTCCTCATGGAAGAAGAGGTGTTGAAGAAACTCCGGGCCCTGGTGGGCTGGAGCTCTGGGGACGGCGTCTTCTGCCCTGGTATGTAAACAGGAGGGGGGCCTTTCTTTGGCCTTTTCAAGGGTTCCTCCTTCCCCACTGTTCTCTTGCTGTAAGCTGGCAGGGAGGGGTGATTCTTCTTTGTTTCTTCTCCAGCTGGGCTCCGGCCAAACCAGAGACAAGCTGCCCAGTCCCCCGTATCCTCGTGTTTGCCAAATAATACATGGCATCAGTGCCTGCTGTCCTGGCGGGGGGGTGGGGTGGGGTGGGGTGGGGTGGTGGATCCTGGGATCAGCCCCGGATAAGGAGGGGGAGTCGGGATCTGCAGATCCCACTGTCTGGGTTATCAGCGTGCCATTTGTTGATCCCTCAGAACTCGTGGCCTGGTAGCCAATCACTTGTGCTTCTTTGATCAGTTCTTCTGGGTGGAGAGGTCAAGAGAGCCAAGCTCCAGTTTTGACCCACTGCCCCTCCCTCTTGCCACCACCCCTTCCCTGTGACAGGTGGCTCCATCTCCAACATGTATGCTGTGAACCTGGCCCGCTATCAGCGCTACCCGGATTGCAAACAGAGGGGCCTCTGGGCACTGCCGCCCCTGGCCCTTTTCACATCAGAGGAGGTGGGAAGAGGCACAGGCCTACCCTGGGCTCCCCGATTCTAATCTCCAGCCAGCTGAGTCCGAGACCTGTCAGATCCTCTGCCTGCTCAGACCCATCTCTTCCGAGACCAGCCTGCCCCCAGGCGGATGTGCTTCCTTCCAACCAAGGGGGCTGTGTAAACACTCCCCGTTCACCTTGCCTTCTGTGTGGGGGTAGCAGAGGGGCATCCAGTGCAGTGTACACAGTCCACACCCTTTCTGCTAAGAGTATGGGCCATGGGCCAGCAGCATCAGTATCACCTGGGAGCTTGTTAGAAATGCAGAATCTCGGGCCCCAGCCCAGACCTACTGAAGATGAATCTGCATTTTAACCAGACACACTGGTGATTTGTAGGCCCATGAGTATTTCAGAAGCCCTGGCCTACAGGGTCTCATCTGTTTGACCAGTCTCTCTCCTCCCCACCCTCCCTGCCCTCTGCCTTCCTCCACAGTGTCATTACTCTGTCAAGAAAGGAGCTGCTTTTCTGGGACTTGGCACCGACAGTGTCCGAATGGTCAAGGCAGATGAGAGGTGAAGGTCCTTCTGTCTGCATGTCTCAGACCCAGCCTGGCGCCGTGTGCCTTCTCATTGCCAGGGGCTCTGGCCTCTGGCGCACACCCCGGCGGACTTCTCTCCCTGCGCTGTTCCCACCGAATTGCCTCTGCTGTCTACCAGTGCCTGCTAGAGTCTCCGCCCTGTCCCCTGAGATCTGTTTACCCCTCTTAGGGAAAAATCAACACTGTGGCCTCTGCATTGCTAACTGCACATTACCCTGCTCTCGACAGTTCTGCTGCCCAGCCTAGAGAACCTATTACTCCCCTACCCACTAAGTTTTCTTTTCCAGAGGGAAAATGATCCCTGAGGATCTGGAGAGGCAGATCGGTCTGGCTGAGGCCGAGGTGAGTGAGTGAGGGGTGCTGAGGCAGTGGAACAGGACCCTTCTGTTCCTTTCTTGGAGGGTTCTTTGGCCTGTGCCTACTCAAGGCTCCCCTCATCCCTCCCCTTGATCTCTGTGCCCGTTTCCCTGGTGGGCTGAAGTGATGCCTGGGGAGCAAGGGCACTGTAGTCCTGCTGACACCCATGGGCAGTATCGGATCGCAGGGCAGGGGTAGGACTGAGTCACTGAGTGGAGTCCCATGGGGCACCGCAGGGAGGATGTTGGGGACCTGAGGTGTAGCCCAGAAGGTTTCTGTGAGCTGGCAGGGTCTGTGCAGGAAGTTCAGGAAGATGTGCGGGCCAGTGGTGAGCAATGCGGACTTGGAGCAATGGGAGATGTGGAGGCCCCTGCACGCCCCTCCGCACTAGGGGACATGGGAGCTGCTGCAGCTGTCTTGGAGGGCGTTTCAGCACTATCTATACCATTTTTATTTACTTATTTATTTATTTACAAATATTTATTTATTTATTTGGCTGCTGCGGGTCTTAGTTGTGGCATGCAGGATCTTTTAGTTGCGGCATGTGAACTCTTTTTTTAAAAAATAAATTTATTTATTTATTTTTGGCTGCATTGGGTCTTCGTTGCTGCGTGCGAGCTTTTCTCTAGTTGCTTTGAGAGGGGGCTACTTTTCTTTGAGGTGTGCGGGCTTCTCATTGTGGTGGCTTCTCTTGTTGTGGAGCACAGGCTTTAGGCGCGCGGTCTTCACTAGTTGTGGCTTGGGGTTCCCCCTCGCGGGCTCTAGAGCGCAAGCTCAGTAGTTGTGGCACACGGGCTTAGTTGCTCTGTGGCATGTGGGATCTTTCCAGACCAGGGCTCGAACCCATGTCCCCTGCATTGGCAGGTGGACTCTTAACCACTGCGCCACCAGGGAAGCCCTAGCTGGTATCAGTTCTTTTTTTAATGTTTTGTACAACTCATCAGTGAAGCTATCTGGGCCTGCGCTTTTCTTTGTTGTAGTTTTTTGAATACTAATTCAAGTTCCTCATAAACTTTTGTACTATTAGGATATTTAAAATAGCATTTTGATCTTCCAGTAAGACATTCAACTTTGTTGAAAGAGTATGAACTTTGGAAATAGACCATCAGACAGACCTAGGTTTGAACTCCATCTCTGGGTTTCAGCTTGGGGGCAGGTGTCTTAACTCCTCTGAATCTCAGTGTCCTCACTTGCAAATTAAAGGGGACAGTAACACGTTGTAAGGTTGCAAGGGCCCAGGTCAGGCACGTGAAGAATTGATAGAGCTGGATCTCAGCACCAGGCTCTGGGTAGCTCTTGAGATGACTTCACAGCCTCTTTCTCCCTCTGCATTTTTGCCACAGGGTGCTGTGCCATTCCTGGTCAGTGTCACCTCTGGCACTACCGTGCTGGGGGCCTTTGACCCTCTGGAGGCAGTTGCAGATGTGTGCCAGCGTCATGGACTGTGGCTGCACGTGGATGTGAGTGGTACTCAGGCCTGAGGATGGGGTGGGCTGAACTGAGGCCAAGGCCAAAGCCCACATTGTTCCTTTTGCTCCACAGGCCGCCTGGGGAGGGAGTGTCCTGCTGTCACAGACACATAGACATCTCCTGAATGGGATCCAGAGGTGCATACAGCCCCCTACACCCTGAATCTCACCCTTCAAATCCTTGATCCAGAGAGTAGTCTTGGACCAGGGAGCTCAGATGGGGGTAGGGGAAGGAGGCTGGTAGGAGGGAGATTGGAGAGATGGTTGATTGGGGCTGGGAGGTCAGACGTCAGACCTGGAAATTCTTCTGCTGGGCCGGGGTGAGACGGAAGCCCCTCTTACTGGAGATTTGGAAAGGTTGGGGCTCTGGTTGGGCAGCTTGAGGGGGAGCCAGCTGACCCTGCTTTGCTGTGCCCACCCCAGGGCTGACTCCGTGGCCTGGAATCCCCACAAGCTCCTCTCCGCAGGCCTGCAGTGCTCAGCTCTTCTTCTCCGGGACACCTCGGTGGGTCTGCCCCTCCCCCGCCCCGGCACCACCTCCCACCCTGGACCTCTGTCTTCTTTTCTATCCCACCTGAGAGGAGCTCCTGGCCTTACCATGTTCTCCTTGCCATGCCATCTGAAGCTGAATATCTGTGGGCACCCTAATCCCCTGTAGTGGGCTCCCTCACTCCCCTGTCTTCGTGCAAAGGAAAAAGTTCCCGGCTGAAGTTGTAATCGGAGGGATCCTGGGTCATTTGGGAAGAACTCTGAGTGTTGGAAGAAAACCCAGAGAGAGGGTTTCAGTCAGCTGGCAGCCGTCCCATCAGTGCCGCCTGGTTCCAGGGAAAGAAGCATGTGGACTGAGCTAAGAAATGGCCCAGTGCAGCTCTGGAGGAAACCTCGGCGGGGAGGGTGGGTCTGACTGTCTCCTCACCCTCCACAGAACCTGCTCAAGCGCTGCCACGGGTCCCAGGCCAGCTACCTGTTCCAGCAGGACAAGTTCTACGATGTGGCTCTGGACACTGGAGACAAGGTGGTGCAGTGTGGCCGCCGCGTGGACTGTCTGAAGCTGTGGCTCATGTGGAAGGCACAGGGCGGGCAGGGGCTGGAGCGGCGTGTGGACCAGGCCTTTGCCCTTGCCCGGTAGGAGTGGGGGCAGTCCCGTTTCCCCTCTCTGGGCTCCAGCCCTGCACCCCTTTCCTGCTCTTAGTGTCTCTTGACTCACTCTCTGGGTTGCTTTTGTTTCTGTATCTCTGCCTTTCCTCCTCCACCCATGATGTCTCACTCTGTGTTCACAGGTACCTGGTGGAGGAATTGAAGAAGCGGGAAACTTTTGAGTTGGTCATGGAGGTACGACCGACCTTGTGCTCTTTTTCATCCCCCGTCCCCCCGCCGTTCCCCTCTCACTGCCCCTCTTCCCCAGCAGAGCCCTGGTTGGGGAAGAGGGGCAGTGAGAGGGGAACGGTCCCCCTTCCTCAGCTCACACCTTCCTCTTCCTCATTCCTCCCAGCCTGAATTTGTCAACGTGTGTTTCTGGTTCGTGCCCCCCAGTCTGCGGGAGAAGAAGGGGAGTCCGGATTACGGTGAAAGGCTGGCTACGGTAGGCAGTCTCCTCCCTGCTCTGGTTAACCCATTAGGGAACCGATGCAGCTGGTGTGTTTCCGCCCCCTGCTGGCTGTAAGTGGCATGGCAGTTCCCTTGGCTAGTTCCTTTGCTCCTGAGGTGGGGACCGTGAACTGGAAGTCGACACCCACTTGTCCTCATTTCTGTGAGGCTGGGAATGGGGGATGCTTCTGGAAAGTATGAAGAAGACGGAGAGGGGCATTACAAGAAAAGTCACCAGTGTGAAGTACATAGATCCATGGTGTGGGGCATTCTGCTGGGAGCTCAGGCTCAGGACAGAGATGTGAGGCAGAAAGATCTTGGAGTTTTGCTCACTAATGCTGGGGACAGAGCAACCCTGTCAGGCCAGGAGGTATGTCCTGGTCGCTAAGGATAGATCGGTACTAGGTGCTGCAGATGATACGAAACATCAAAAATGTTATAGGAATTCAGAGAGGGGAGAAGAAGGTGTCGAGGATGATGAAGGCTTGAAGTTAGACTGAAAAAGCAGTGTTGAGATTCAGTAAAAAGTCAGGATTTAGCAGAAAATGGCCCATGTGGTAACGTGGAGAATGGTGAGACGTGAAAGAATGCAGGAGGTAGAGAAGGTCCAGTGGGCTGGATGTGGTGGCAAGGGTAAACTGGGGCCACGTCAGGATCCGAGCCGTGAGTTGCTGTCTCTGGAAGGTGTCTGGGTGGAGGGAGGTGCAAGTTGGGGAGCCCAGCCCCTCACCTGACCCCAGGCTGCAGCTGGAACGTTGCTCCACTCCTCCCACAGGTGGCCCCAATCCTCAAGGAGCGCATGGTGAGGAAGGGCTCCATGATGATTGGCTACCAGCCCCATGGTACCCGGGGCAACTTCTTCCGCATGGTCGTGGCCAACCCTGCGCTGACGCGGGCAGATATGGACTTCCTGCTGAATGAACTGGAACGGCTGGGCCAGGACCTCTGAGCCGCTCCTTCTCTGCTGGCCTGGACCCCTCCCCCAACCCTTACCATCTCCCTGTATCCCCTCCCCGTGTTCTCAAGAACAACCTCTCCAGGAAACAAAGCTGTCTTAATTTTTATGTGCTTTGACCCACTAACTCTCCTTTAAGTATTTGATATTAAGAGAATGTTTAAATAAATGATAGTATATCCATATGATGGAATATTACTCTGCCATTAAAATTATGTTTACAAAGAGGATTTTTATAGATAAGAGAAAAATAATTTTAATATAATGTTATGTGAAAAAGCTGGATATAAGACTTTATATATGGTAATATCTGAGCTGCATTCAAAAATACATAGGAAAAGACTGATGAGATGTAATATGCCAAAATGTTAATAGTTTTCTCTGGGATGGGATTACAGGTAATTTGAAAATTAACTTCTTTATACCTTTTGTGCGCCCCTTTTATGATATAAGGAGTATCTATTGCTTTTTATTTTATAAATTTATTTATTTTTGGCTGCGTTGGGTCTTTGTTGCTGCACGCGGGCTTTCTCTAGTTGCAGGGAGCGGGGGCCCCTCTTTGTTACGGTGCGTGGGCTTCTCATTGCGGTGGCTTCTCTTGTTGCGGAGCACGGGCTCTAGGCGCGCGGGCTTCAGTAGTTGTGGCATACGGGCTCAGTAGTTGTGGCTTGTGGGCTCTAGATCGCAGGCTCAGTAATTGTGGTGCACGGGCTTAGTTGCTCCACGGCATGTGGGATCTTCCCGGACCACGGCTCGAACCCGTGTCCTCTGCATTGGTAGGCGGACTCTTAACCACTGCGCCACCAGGGAAGCCCCCCTCTATTACTTTTAAATAGGAAAATAATAAAGTTAAATTTTCAGCTGTATTATTTTGGTATATTGTGAAGTTTGTTATCTTTCAACAAAATAGTGGAGAATGCAAATTTGTAAAAAAGTAAAGGTATAAGAGAGGCTAAAAATAGGAAAAAATTTTCCCAAAAATCTTGAGTGGGAGAGAAAAGATCAAAAGTGGAGTTATTCTAAAATTAATTGTACTTTGGGACTTCCCTGGTGGTGCAGTGGATAAGACTCTGTGCTCCCAAAGCGGGGGGCCCGGGTTTGGTCCCAGGCCTGGGAACTAGATCCCACATATGTGCTGCAACTAAGTGTTCACATGCCACAACTAAGGAGCCCACATTGCCACAACTACAGAGCTGGTGAGCCGCAACTACGGAGCCCACCTGCCGCAACTGAGACCTGTTGCAGCCAAATTAATTAATTTAAAAAAGTTAATTATAATTTAATGACACTGAAAACAAAATGGGCACTTGTTGTATCTTGAGACGAGAACCTTGTCCACTTATCACTCTTGAAAAATCTTCACACACACCAAAAAAGTAAGAATGTTCCTTCTGTAATTTAAACAACAGAAACCAAGTTGAAAAAAAAAAGCCCAGCAACGGAACCAACCACTGTTATGTCTTCTGTTATTGCTACTGTCTTACATAAAAACATCCATTTAACACTTAAAATCCTGGTCTGATGTTGCTTTTCAGTCACTTTTTGGGAAAGAGGCATTTAGCTACACAAGTTATTTAGGACAAGTGGCAGGTCTACCAGAACTTTCTGTTATTTCCAATTCCTAAAAATACCATTTATGAAAACAGTAACGTGGTCATGTAAGAGTCATCCAAAGTTATTTGAAGAAGCAAATACAGACCATACAAACCATAGCAAAAGAACATCCAAATCTCAAACCCAATTCTCTTGACCATTTGGGGGAAAAAAGATTTTCTATTCATAAATTACTAATAATTTCCCTGTAAACTTGTTATTCTTGCAATAAATGGTATCTAATTTCTTCCAAATAATACATTTGTTTTAAGAGTACTAATAATTTGAGCTCCAAGCCCTAATCTTAAAGAGTTCTATTTATCTGAAAAATGTCTTAAACATAGTAAAAGCAAACTAAAAAAGTGCTTATTTTTCAGCTCAAAGCAAAGCCAGAAAGCAAAACAAAAATGAAATCTTCAAATTCCTTGAATCATCTCCATCTCTGAAGTATGTTTAAGAGAAGGCTAGAGGGGCTTCCCTGGTGGCGCAGTGGTTGAGAGTCCGCCTGCCGATGCAGGGCATGCGGGTTCGTGCCCCTGTCCGGGAAGATCCCACATGCCGCGGAGCGGCTGGGCCCATGAGCCATGGCCGCTGAGCCTGCGCGTCCGGAGCCTGTGCTCCGCAATGGGAGAGGCCACAACAGTGAGAGGCCCGCATAACGCAAAAAAAAAAAAAAAGAGAGAGAAGGCTAGAGGACTTCCCTGGTGGCACAGTGGTTAAGAATCCGCCTGCCAATGCAGGAAACACGGGTTTGATCCCTGGTTGGGGAAGATCCCACATGCCATGGAGCAGCTAAGCCCATACGTCACAACTACTGAGCCCACGCGCCACAACTACTGAATCCCACACACCTAGATCCCGTGCTCCACAACAAGAGAAACCACCACAATGAGAAGCCCGTGCACCACAACGAAGAGTAGCCCCCACTCGCCGCAACTAGACAAAGCCTGCACGCAGCAATGAAAACCCAACGCAGCCAAAACTAAATAAATTTTTTTTAAAAAAAGAGAAGGCTAGAAAGACAGGACGTAAAATCAGTGAATCACCTATTTTTCTCCAGCTTTATGAAACGGATTCTTCTTTTCCTCCATTCCCAAAATTCAATCTCAAAATCTCTGGTTATAGTATGGTAGTCTCTCTCTTCCTTTTTCTCTCCCATCAACATATACTGAGCTCCTGCTGTGCGTAATTCCTTGTCTTGCCTTCCAAGAGCCCACCTAAGACTAAAGCAATCATCCCTCAACTGAGGCCTGTCCCTGCTCCAGGCCATTTGCACCTGCTGCCCCTTTGGCCTGAGTGTTCACCCATCTACATGATTCGCTCCCTCATTGCCTTTAGATTTTTGTTCAGATATCACTGACTTATTGAAGCCTTCCTTGAATTGTTGATCTAAAATTACATTTTCACCCTCTGTTGTTACATCTGCCTTGTTTTTCTCCATGGCATGTATAAGCATCTGGCATACACTATAATTTATTTATTTATTTACTTACTTACTTACTTACTTCCCCTGCACCTGCTTGCCCCGGTCTCACTCAGCTAGAATGTAAGCTCTGGGAGCAGAGATTTTGTATCATTGCTTCCCAAAGTGGAGTCTTGTACTTACAAGGTGGGTAATGTTAAGTGAATGGTTAATGAGCTCCAGGTACTAGTTGACTTGCTCTCAGTCACAAAACTTTTTTTTTTTTTTTTTTTTCTCGGTGCGCGGGCCTCTCACTGTTGTGGCCTCTCCCGTTGCGGAGCACAGGCTCCGGACGCGCAGGCTCAGCGGCCATGGCTCACGGGCCCAGCCGCTCCGCGGCATGTGGGATCTTCCCGGACCAGGGCACGAACCCATGTCCCCCGTATCGGCAGGCGGACTCTCAACCACTGCGCCACTAGGGAAGCCCAGTCACACAACTTTTAAGTGGTGAGTCAAAGCCAAATTCAGACCATCTTCCTCTGGCTCTTAACCATGGGTCTAGTCTGCTTCTGTTGACAGGTGTACATAGTTCATAGTGTGTGGGTATCAGGGCCATTTTATTAACCGTATGCTGTGGATCTGTTGCTTGCGGGAAGAATGAAGGCATTCACAGGTTCGGTCACCCATCTTGCCCTTGGCCTGGAGAAATCGTATTACCATCAAACAGGAAGCAAGTTCGTTGGGAACACCTGGGTGAATTACAATGTTTGAGTGGGTTTTTTCTTTTGTTTAAAGGGGTCAAAGTATTCAAGAGGCTAGCCTCCCCATGACAGGGGAAGGAAAATGGTGACTTCACAGGGTGGTAGGCCAAGGGCTGGGAAGCTAAAAGCCGGGTGGGGCACCTTGGGTATGGCAAGGTTGGGGTAAGAGTCTTTTTAGGAGAGTGGATGAAAGGGTGCAAGCAACAGTGAAGTCAGAATTTGGACACCTGGAACTGTTCTTATGCGCCCTAGGTCCTACGTTGGCTACTTCTCTTCTTTATATACCTTTTAAAAATCTTTTTATTTTGAAATAATTTGAAACTTACAGAAAAGTTGCAAGAACTTCTATATACTCTTTACCTGAATTTATCAATTTTCACATTTTGACAAATTTTCTTTATCATTATGTATGTACTATAACTTATTTTTTTCAGAACTATTTGAGAGTCGGATATAAACAATATGCCTCTTTATTTCTTAATACTCTAGTGCATATTTCCCAAGGACAAGAATATTATTTTAACCATGATATGATGATCAAATTCAGGAAATTTAACAGTGACACCATACTTTCATCTAAAGTCCATATTCCAGGGACTTCCCTGGTGGTCCAGTGGTAATGAATCCGCCTTCCAATGCAGGGAACGCGGGTTCGATCCCTGGTCGGGGAACTAAGATCCGCGGGGCAGGCCGTGCGCCACAGCTACTGAGCTCCCACGCCTCAACGAGAGGGCCTGCATGCCGCAAACTACAGAGCCCACACCCTCTGGAGCCTGCACGCCACAACTAGAGAGAGAAAATCCACATGCCACAACTAGAGAGAAGCCCGTGCCACAACAAAGAGCCCTCATGCCGCAACTAAGACCCGACGCAGCCTAAATAAATAAATAAATTGATAGGTAGATAGATAAAGTCTATATTCCAGAGTTGTTGATTGTCCCAACAATGCTCTTTATGGCATTTTCCCCTTCCAGTACAAGATCCCAGTCCAGGATCATGTATTGCATTTAGTTGTCATGTCTTCTTGTCTTATTTACTCTAAAATAGTTCCTCAGCCTTTCTTTATCATTAACATTGACATTTTAAAAGAATACAAGCCAGTTATATTATAGAATGGTCATCAGTTTGTTTTTTCCTGAGGCTTCCTCACGACTGGATTCAGGTTAGCATTCTAAGCTGCAATATGACTTGTCACGTGTATCCTTTTCAGAGAAGCACATCACAACGGCCACAATGACCATCTGTTCCTTACTGGTGATGTAACTTTGATCAAAGTCAAAAGTGGTCAAGGTGGTGTCTGGTTTCTCCAAGGCATGGTTATTATTGTGCCCTTTGCAGCTAATAATCTGTAAGGAGACAGTTTGAGATTTTGCAGATACCCTGTTCCTCTTCATATTTTCCCCATCTAGACTTAGCATCCATTCACGATGCTTGCCAAACCAACTTTTATCATAACGATTGCCAAATGGTGGTT